GGAGATTCAGGAGAGAGAGAGACAGAGAGGAGGGGGGGGGAGATTGAGGGGGCTGCACGGAGTAGCAGCAGCCACGCGGTGGCGACGAGACGGCGCCACCGACGATTGCCCAAACTGCGCGATCGTCTAAATACGTCGAGAGGAACACGCGGCGATCGCACGGGGATTGACTCGTCGTGACGTGAGACAAGTTCCGTGGGGTTGGCGGGACACACGCGGTCACGGCTCAGGAGTAGGACCGCGACGATGAAGAGTTAGAACAACGGGGAGGTGCCACCGTGGTGGAGATGGAGCGATGGTGAACTCACTCGGCTCGATGTGTCGTCGAGCAGGCGCTGGGTGGTGTGATGACATCGCGGGATCGAGAGGTCGTGGCGGTGTTTGGGAGGAGGAGGGGGGGAGGTGTAATCAAGCAGTGGATAGAACACGGCTGACGCTGATCATGCAGTACTCTTGCGCGCGTTTAGAACGCAGTACGCAGAGCACAGGAGGGCGGGAGTGGAGCGGTGGAGCGGTGGAGCGGTGGAGCGGTGGGGCAGTGGTCAGGCTACTACGCCATGAACGAACCCCCTATCACCATTTGCCACCAGAGTTCCATTCCGGGCCACGACCAACATGAGTGGTCAGTGATTATCTGAACCGGTCCTGCCCCCCCCCCCCTCTACGCCCCATCGCTTCCCCCCTCCGCCTGTCTCTTTATCAAAGACAAAGATCCCCCGCGTAGCCTGAACAGACTGTTGGGGCAAGTGCTGTTAGCGAGTAGCAGCACCTATGAAGGCCGGCACGGCACACGAGGGGGTGGGTGGCCAGCACCACGCTCGGCCGCCTTTGTCTCCCCAGTGGCGATGTTTACGCACCGCACCAGGTACTCATTTGAGGCTGAGCCGACCTAGAGGAGGCCCAGGACCGGATCAGATTACCGTCTATGGTGTTGGTCGTGAGCAGGAATCGAACTCAGGTCGCCGGGTTCGTAGTGCAGCGTAGCGCTAACCGCTGCACCACCGCTCTCTTTAATAACCCCACAATGACCGACATGGTTTAGGGGAGGCATTGATTCGGCAGTGTTCACCCAGGTGAGACCTCAGAGTGACCTGGGCGAGTGGATGAGTGGGCGAATGAGTAAGTGAGTCTCTGTGTGATCTAGTGAGTGTCTGATTGCGTGAAGGAGTGAGTGGCAAGGTGAGTACGTGGCCGAGTCCAAGTGTATTTTGTTTAAAACCAGGTAAAAACTCAAAGGGCCAGGATGGGTGGGTAGGTGGGTGAGCGAATGGCCGAGTCGGAGAATGGGTGAGTGGGTCTTCGTGTGAGTTAGTGATTGGTTGAGTATGTGAACGAGTGGGCGAGTGAGTGGTTGGGTGGGTGAGTGAGTGGCTGAGTTCAAGTTGATTTTGTTCAACCTGGTGAGAACCGAAGAGGTTGTACGAAGAGTCTCAATTTCAAGAGCGACCCGGGGTCATCAGTCTACCAGAATGAGAGCGACGATTGCTGCTGCTGCGTCATCCCAATTGAGTAATTTGCGGCGCAATTTTCGAATTTGGCAAATTTCGACCCTTGACGCTGTTGGCACACGAAGTCCCCCACTCTTACGAATGACGTACGGAAGGGATATTTAACGTCCACTGTGAGCGAAAGAGACGACACGTGGCATGTACCATTACTACCACGGTCAATACACACCGCAATATTCACCAGAATGGACCGCCGGGTTCCAACAGCACACCCTTTCATCTTCTTGGTTCTTTCGGTAAAGTCACGTAGAAGGGAAATAATAAAATAATGGAAATAAAACATAATAAAATAATTATATTTTTAAGCTGAGTTGGAGGGGGGAGAGCGCCTTAACACACCCTTTGCAACCATTGGCGCTCCCCACGCTCGCTGGGGAGGAGGAACGACGCCGAGACGGGAGCCGCGCTGCTGAATCTGCTGCGGGTCGCTTCTCTCCCTCTCTCTGCCTGAGAGGGCCTCTTAAGTGGCCGATAGTGGCTGGAATTGGCTCCCCCCCCCCATCACTCGCGTCCGCCCCCCCCCCCCAACCGAGCGATTTTGTTGCTGGAATTAAAATTGTCAAAGATTGCATCTCGAGAGCTTCTTGAATTTCTGCCTGGTGGCTGGGAGATCGCAGTGCAGCAAGTAGGAGAGTCGGTGAGTGTCACCGACACCCACCACCACCCACAACACCGCCACCACCCACACCACCCATACCCCTCCACCGCCACCACCCACACCACCTACTTCCCCCACCGCCACCACCCCCCCCCCCCACCCGCACCGCCGCCCCCACCGCCACCACCCACACCACTCCCCCCCCACCGCCACCACCCACACCACCCACCCCCCATGCGTGCGTGCTGCGTTGTCGCGGCACTGGCGGAGCCAGTGAGGGGGGGGTGGCACGTGCCCCCCCAATGATCCGATCGAAATCCATAATTTCAATCGGATCATTGGAGTTTATTCGTAATAAATCGGCATTTTGCGACCGCCATTGCCACTGTGTAGCATATTATTAAGTGCCAGGGACTCTATGAGATGATGGGACAATAGTCTCAGTCCATAATTGGCAATAAATAACGGCAAAGCGGTTATAAGCGACTCACAGAATTGTGCGCAGTTGCGTGTACAGTCCACGACTTCCCTGAAGGCAAACACCTTCAGCGAGCGCGATGCCGATCACCCAACGTGGTTCGAATTCGACCCTCGATCGATGGCTGCGCCATCGCCGCACACGCGTCGAATAAAAAGCAAGGGACAAGTCCTTACTTACTAACAACTCCTTACTTACTAACAACTCCTATCATTTCTGGAGGGGTTGCCCCCTCTACCTGAAAATCCTGGCTCCGCCATTGTGTCGCGGTGTGCTCCCGCCATTCGTGGAATGCGCGTCGGGGTCTTTCGTGACCAATATTGCAATGTGTAATCGATTGTTTTGTTGGCGAGAGAGTGGGGGAGCGGGGCGGGGCGTCCAACGGCGTAAGTGAAATGTGTGTGTCGTGAAACCCTCCTCCACCCGACGCAGACAGTTCACAACGCTGTCAGGCGATGGGCACACGTGGCACGGGTTATTGTTGCGGCGTTGTTGGAGGGCGATTCTCGCCACGCTGGAAGTCGCGACCAGCACCGTCAGGCAGTCGCCAGGATTGTCTGGCGATCCTGGCCGTGACCATCAGCGTAAAACGTCCGTGCCCAATTGAAACCCGTAGCGTGGGCGGTCATGACGGATGATTAACTATTTAAAACAGACAAATGTATTTTTTTAATATTTTGCCCGGAAAACGGCCCATTGAGGTATACAGTAGCTCTTTTTTCATAAGCAACCTGGCATGTCACAAATGATAGCTCAAGGAGGTGGATTTTCATCGCGTGGAAATTTGATTCTAAATGTGGAGGTTACAACCGGAGGACCCGGAGAATAATCCACGCGGCGAGAGAGAGAGAGAGACATGCAAACGCCAAATATTTGATCTTAAAGGAATGCATATTGCGTCTTAACAAAGGCGTTTTGCAAGGAATTAACGACGGTAGAACGTGTGCATGCAATGGGGGAGCCGAGGTGAATGAAATAGGTGAGAGGAAGCAATGGGAACATCTGTGATGCCTGAATTCGGTAAAAGCGAAATTGACGACAGTAAATGATGATTGATGGATTGGTCGAGATCGAACCCCAGACCTCATGTATAGCAGGCGAGGTAGTTAACATCTCACCACCGTGGCGCCCGACACACAGGTGGTGCTGCCGAAGCGGTCGTCAACTTGCCACATTTATTCACGTGGTCACGTTTACTCATTGGCTGCGTCGGGCGGAGGAAGGATTTACGACACAAATGTAATTTACGCGCTCCCCCGCCCCCAATAGGTTTTGCTTTATTAGAAAGCAACTTTCATTCGTTCATTCATCGCGCACGTAACTTGGCCGTCCGGCTAATTTATCTTACAAAAACGTGCTTTGTGATGTCGGGATAGATTATGCATGCACACGTGTAGCAGCAGCAGTAGTAGCATCCTCTCCGTGCAAATCAATTCCTGCCGCTGCCAGCCGATTATATTGCCGATGCCAAGTCACGGAGGTGACAACTCCCCCCTTCTCGCTCCGTGGTTGCTTCGAGCAGACTTGTCTCATGGACTCAGCGCGATGCACGCGGTGTACAATACGCATAGGGGCGCCACGGTGGCTATGAGATGTGAATTCTCTCGCCAGGTATGCAGGAGGGCGTGGGTTCGATCCCGACCCTGACGATGTCTGCTGTATATTTAAAGTTTTCGGTGTGGCTCCCTCTCTCCCCGTGGTCGCGTGGATTTTTCTCCGGGTCCTCTGGTTTTTTCTTCCACATTCAGAATCAAAAGCATTTGGCTGCTATCAATTTTCTCGTGATGAAAAGCCACTTCGTTGAGCTATCATTTGTGACCAGGTCGCTTCTGAAAAAGCGCTGCATAGCTCAGTGGACACTTACCTGATCAAATAAAAAAAACGAACCTAGTACTTTTCATTCATTTTGACAAAAAAAGTTTTGTAGGCTCTTTCAGCAACAGTAAATGCTGCGAAATTATTTCCCAATAAGCCAGCTTCATGCAGCATCAGCAGCAGCAGTTGCTTTGAAGACAATTTTCTGGGTGATGATGATGCGTTGGCAAATATCGAACGACACATCGCACCTCCGACCAACTCGACCGCGAATCCCACCCTGCCCCCCGCATCCCCGAACGCCAGGGAGGTGCTCTACCCCCCCCCCCCCCGAGTTTTCTTCATCGCAAGGCCCGCGGGCCACTGGTGCCCTCCTGGTGGCCTTCAGTGCGGGCCCCTGACGTGCGGCCCCGCGACAAAACACAACTGGTGAAGACACTCCCCCCACCGTCGTCGTCATCATCATCGTGCTGCTGTCAAATCTGTGGCGGGCCCTCACTTACACTGATGATGTCTCACCGGCGAAATACCCCCCCACTCTGAAATTGAGTGACAAAAACTGCCCTAACCCATCCGTTCCACCTTCCTTTTGCAGCAGCAGCAGCAGCAAGCAGCAGCAGCAAGCAGCAGCAGCAAGCAGCAGCAGCCAGAGCGGGCCATGAACGCCAGCCAGCTGCCCGGTGCGCCGTCCGTTGCGGCCAGCGTCAACGGCTCAGCCGACCACTTCGAGGGCCTCGCCGTGCTGCTGCAGCTCAAGCCGCTGTTCGTGCCGCTCTACGCGCTGCTCACCCTCGTCGGGGTTGTGGGCAACTCGGCGCTCATCGCCGTGATCGCGCGCACCCGCCGCCTCCACACCGTCACCAACTTCCTCATCGGCAACCTCTCCCTCTCCGACCTCCTCGTGTGCGTCACGTGCGTGCCCGTGTCCGTGGCGCACGCCTTCGAGCCGCGCGGCTGGCCCTTCGGACCCGCGCTTTGCTACTTCGTGACCTTCATGCAGCCCACCACGGTGTACGTGTCCGTGCTGTCGCTCGCCGCGATCGCCGTCGACCGCTACGTGGTGGTGGCGCACCCCATCCGCCGGCGCGTCTCCGTGCGCGCCTGCGGCTACGCGGTGCTCGCCATCTGGCTCCTGTCGGCCGCTCTGGCCTCGCCCGTGGCGGCCAACACGCTGTACAACGACTTCAGGCCCCAGGGACACCAGCTGGTGGTGTGCGAGGAGCTGTGGTACGAGCGAGAGGGCCAGCGGCTCGCCTACTCGTGCTCCACCGTCTTCATCTCCTACATGCTGCCCCTGTCCACCATCTCGGTGTCGTACTGCGCCATCACGGCGCGCTTGGAGCGCCGTGCGATGCCCGGGGCCATCCTGCGGCAGACGCAGGAGAAGTGGCGGCTCAAGAAGCGCAAGACGTTCCGCATGCTCGTCCTCTCGGCGCTCACATTCGCCATCTGTTGGCTCCCGCTGCAGACCTTCAACCTCATACATGACTTCGACGCGCAGGTCAGGGCAACCCCCCCCCCCCCACCCCCCCAGCCCTCACCCCGCGCGCGTGCATCACCAGAACGCGCGTGGGCGCAGGGGGGGGGGGTGCCTTGTCTCCACCCCCCGCTGGTTGGTACCCCCTTGACAGCCACCACGAGGGTTGTTCGACGTTCGAGACCGTGAGTATGAGCGTGACGACGCTGCGATTCCAGTGGCCTCCGAGGCACGACCGTGCGGAGAGACGAATCAAATATCGGGGCCCCATCGGACCGATTGCCGCACCCCCCCCCCCCCCCTGAGCTGATAACGTAGTTGGGCCACTGCCAAACAAAGGCCATTGTCACGATGAGACCTCCTTTACCAGTAGCAAAATATAGTAGTAGGTTTTTACTCTTTCAACTGGTACAAAACTGACACCTTTATACAAGGGATAATGTTTGCAATAACCACAACACAAGCAGTCAAAATGCAAAAAGAAACAACTCTGATAATGATAATGACAGTGCATATCATTATCATTATCAGTGTTGTTTCTTTTTGTTTGTATTTTGACTGCTTGTGTTGTGCTTATTGCAAACATGATCTCTTGTATAAAGGTGTCAGTTTTGTACCAGTTGAAAGAGTAAAAACCTACTACTAAATGCCATTGTGTGTCAGTAAACAGTCGCCGGCGACTTACGCTGCACGTGGCCGCCTGCGATCCAGCACTGGAGGCAGCCAGCGAGGGTTGGCGGGTCACCACAGGAATGTTGTGAAAACTCCCTTCCTGTGATCGGTCGAGTCGGAGCCCAACCCGTGGCTCGCCAGGGGATGGCGGTTACACAGCAAAGATGTGAACCCCACCACGCCTGCTCCACCCGCACGGGGATCGAGCGTTTCTTCCTCGCACGTGCGGGGGTTTCTCTGGCTGCTCTAGTTTCCTCCCACATGTAAAGCACTCGTGAATTGGCCGATAACGCCTTGATATGCAGGGGACCGCAGAGCTTGGCCAATTGTTGGTGGCACCGGCTGCTCACTCCGTGGCTGCTGCTGCTTTCCCGCTCGACTGTGGCTCCTCCTCCTCCTAGCGCCGTACGTAGCCAACCGTGCTAATTGGAGGTGAGGGGGGAAGACAACAAACTACGGGTCTCTGTGTGAGTCTATGGGTCTCTGTGTGATTCTATGGGTCTCTGTGTGAGTCTATGGGTCTCTGTGTGAGTCTATGGGTCTCTGTGAGTTTATGGGTCTCTGTGTGAGTCTATGGGTCTATGTGTGATTCTATGGGTCTCTGTGTGATTCTATGGGTCTCTGTGTGAGTCTATGGGTCTCTGTGTGAGTTTACGGGTCTCTTTGTAAGTCTGTGGGTCTCTGTGTGAGTCTACGGGTCTCTGTGTGAGTCTATGTGTTTCTGTGTGAGTCTATGGGTCTCAGTGTAAGTCTATAGGTCTCTGTGTGAGTCTATGGGTGTCTGTATGAGTCTATGTGTCTCTGTATAAGTCTATGGGTCTCTGTGTGAGTTTATGGGTCTGTGTGTGAGTCTACGGGTCTCTGTGTGAATCTATGGGTCCCTATGTGAGTCTATTGGTCTCTGTGTAAGTCTATGGGTCTCTGTGTGAGTTTATGGGTCTCTGTGTGAGTCTATGGGTCTCTGTGTGAGTCTATGGGTCTCTGTGTAAGTCTATGGGTCTCTGTGTAAGTCTATGGGTCTCTGTGTGGGTTTATGGGTCTCTGTGTGAGTCTAAGGGTCTCTGTGTGAGTTTATGGGTCTACGTGTGAGTCTATGGGTCTCTGTGTGAGTCTATGGGTCTCTGTGTGATTCTATGGGTCTCTGTGTGAGTCTATGGGTCTCTGTGTGATTCTATGGGTCTCTGTGTGAGTTTACGGGTCTCTTTGTAAGTCTATGGGTCTCTGTGTGAGTCTATAGGTCTCTGTGTGAGTCTATGGGTCTCTGTGTGAGTCTATGGGTCTCTGTGAGTCTATGGGTCTCTGTGTGATTCTATGGGTCTCTGTGTGAGTCTATGGGTCTCTGTGTGATTCTATGGGTCTCTGTGTGAGTCTACGGGTCTCTGTGTGAGTCTATGTGTCTCTGTGTGAGTCTATGGGTCTCTGTGTGAGTCTACGGGTCTCTGTGTGAGTCTATGGGTCTCTGTGTGAGTATATGGGTCTCTGTGTGAGTCTATGGGTCTCTGTGTAAGTCTACGGGTCTCTGTGTGAGTCTATGGGTCTCTGTGTGAGTCTATGGGTCTCTGTGAGTCTATGGGTCTCTGTGTGATTCTATGGGTCTCTGTGTGAGTCTATGGGTCTCTGTGTGATTCTATGGGTCTCTGTGTGAGTCTACGGGTCTCTGTGTGAGTCTATGTGTCTCTGTGTGAGTCTATGGGTCTCTGTGTGAGTCTACGGGTCTCTGTGTGAGTCTATGGGTCTCTGTGTGAGTATATGGGTCTCTGTGTGAGTCTATGGGTCTCTGTGTAAGTCTACGGGTCTCTGTGTGAGTCTACGGGTCTCTGTGTGAGTCTATTGGTCTCTGTGTGAGTATATGGGTCTCTGTGTGAGTCTATGGGTCTCTGTGTAAGTCTACGGGTCTCTGTGTGAGTCTACGGGTCTCTGTGTGAGTCTATGTGTGTACGGTGACCTTCTTTCGCCCCGTACGTAGCCAACCGTGCTAATTTGAGGTGCGGGGGAAGGACAACAACACGATACACACAAAGCGGTTCTCAAACAAAATTGTTTGACATTTTGCACGAAACATGTCTTTATTATGTAAAATCAACAAATGTATGCGACTGAAGGTACATTCATTGAATGTAAATCACGCGCTACATTCACGTCTTCACATCAACACAAGACGCGGTTGCCTTCGCTTTAGCAGCTGTGGCAGAGTCGTGAATGATGCCATCGTCACTCAAGACACGAACAAGGTTTTGTTTCCCTTGCCCCGATGGGAGCGCTCCCTTCGCCCAGCCGTGCCACCTCGACGTGGAACGGACGGCCTCAAGAGGACAGCCTCCAAAATGACCAAGGAGATCCTCCCAAATAATGAGCCTATGGGTTCATCCGGCCCTGCCGAGAGCGAAACGTAGCAAGCAAGACACACACACACTTTCACGATACACAAACGTACAGCTCACACACACACACACACTTTCACCATACACAAACATGCAGCACACACACACACACTTTCACCATACACAAACGTACAGCACACACACACTTTCACGATACACAAACGTACAGCACACACACACTTTCACGATACACAAACGTACAGCTCACACACACACACTTTCACCATACACAAACGTACAGCACACACACACTTTTACGATACACATACATACAGCACACACACACTTTCACGATACACAAACGTACAGCACACACACACTCACCATACACATACATACAGCACACACACACAATTTCACGATACACAAACGTACAGCACACACACACACTTTCACGATGCACAAACGTACAGCACACACACACACAATTTCACGATACACATACGTACAGCACACACACACACTTTCACGATACACATACGTACAGCACACACACACTCACCATACACATACATACAGCACACACACACACTTTCACGATACACAAACGTACAGCACACACACACTCACCATACACATACATACAGCACACACACACACTCAACATACACATACATACAGCACACACACACACTTTCACCATACACATACATACAGCACACACACACTTTCACCATACACATACATACATACAGCACACACACACACTTTCACCATACACATACATACAGCACACACACACACTTTCACCATACACATACATACAGCACACACACACACTTTCACGATACACATACGTACAGCGCACACACACACTTTCACGACGTACAGCACACACACATAATATAAACATACAAAGACCAATATCCCCCGTATAGCCTTAAAATACTTTTGTGGCAAGTATGTATTTATCTTGATTTGAAGTTTCTGTGGCTGCAAGAATCCATACACTTTGGTTCTTTTTAGTAAAGTCACGTAGGTAGAAGAAATAATCGATCACGAAGTTTCGATCGCCACACGGGCAATCGTCTGCAGGTGGGAGAGAGAAGACGATCGTTTGTGTGGCGATCGAAACGTCGTGATCGATTATTTCTTCTACCTACGTGACTTTACCGAAAGAACTAAAGAGTAGGTATGTGTGTATGCTGAAATAGATTTGCACCGTACGTGGTCAAACCTGCTAATCGGAGGTGCACAGGCAGGACAACAAATTAAACACAAAACGCAGTTAAATTTCGATTTAAAGCTTTCGTGACTGCAGGGATTCATCTTCTTGGTTCTTTCGGTAAAGTCACGTAGAAGGGAAATAATAAAATAATAAAAATAAAACATCATAAAATAATTATTCAGACGCTGTCTTCCCGACAGACCTGCTCTTCACCTGAGGACGGCTGGTTGCGTTGTTGCAGAAACGTCGTGAGAATTATTTTATACTGGTAGGAACGAAGTGGACCAGCCTACAATAGATTATATCGTCCATCCGTTTGTCCGTTTGTCCGTCCGTCCGTCCGTGTAGCAACATCACCCCCTACTGCAAACACTTGGCATGACCCTACAAAAACCTTTAGACTGTGAGGCTTTCCTGGCTAAACAAGTGTAACATTTCCTTATAATTCCCTCAGATAGCTTTTAATTAAAACATTTAAATTAATGAGGCTTTCCTGGCTAAACACGTGTAACATTCCCTTATAATTCCCTGAGATAGCTTTTAATTAAAACTTTGAAATTAAATAAAAAAACTCACAGCGCCCTAAAGCCTACAGCTAGGCCTAAAGCCTAGAACTAGGCCTCAAAGTCTCCCTTCGTATCGTACCCCCGCGTGTGTGCAAGGGAGTTAATGTTTAACAATGTTACAATCCTTGATGATTTTAATTAGAAACATTAAAATTTAAAGCTTTTACATAAATAATAAAAACATTTAAATTAAAAATTAACTCACGGCGGCCTAAAGCCTACAGCTAGGCGTCAAGCCTCGAACAACGCCTCAAACTCTCCCTTCGTATCGTTCCCCCGCGTGTGTGCAAGGGAGTTAATGTTTGACAATGTTACATTCCCTGATGCTTTTAAATAGAAACATTTAAATTTAAAGCTTTTACATAAATAATTAAAGCAGGTAAATTAAAAATTAACTCACGGCGCCCTAAAGCCTACAGCTAGGCCTAAAGCCTAGACTTAGGCCTCAAACTCTCCCTTAGTATCGTACCCCCGCGTGTGTGAAAGGAAGTTAATGTTTAACAATGTTACATTCCCTGATGTTTTTTAATAGAAACATTTACATTTAAAGCTTTTACATTAACAACAACTCCCTACCCCCTCCTCGTCGGCGGCTTTCCAGCCGAGCCAGGCCTGGGAATCTCTCCCCCGCTCGGGGTGTATTGGGCGGGGCTACAGCGGCAGGGGGCGGGGCTACGCGGGGCTGGGCGGGGCAACGGCGGCAGGGGGCGTGGGCACGAGGTGGAGGGCGGGGCTACGCGGGGTTGGGGCGGGGTTACGGCGGTAAGGGGCGGGGCAACGAGCTGGGGGCGGGGACACCGAGATGGGGCGGGGCCACGGTTGGCCGGGGCGGGGTTACGCGGGTGGAGGGCGGGGCCACGGGGCATCCACTTATTGGCGGCCATTTTTTGCCATTTCATTTTATTATAGCCATTCAATTGTTCGTTCCTACCAGCCCACCCCGCAGGGTCTGTTTATGTTTTATTTTTATCATTTTATTATTTCCCTTCTACGTGACTTTACCGAAAGAACCAAGAAGACAAAACGCAGTTATAAAGAAATTATTTTTCAATGGAGACATTTTAAAAGTGTCGTTCCCAGTGGCTTCCAAATATCGAAAGGAAGAAAGTTCCAGATGGCCGCTGAGTGTATGTATGCTGAATTTCATTCGCACCGTACATAGCCAACCGTGCTAATGGGAGGTGCGGGGGGAAGGACAGCGAACCAAACACAAAAATACGTTCTAAAGAAATTAGTTTTCAAGTTAGACAAATTAAAAGTGCAAAGCTGCCAGTGGCGTTCCCAATATTCGCTTTGAACCCCCATCTTTTTAAAGTGGCCTTCCCTCTTTAGTTTGGTCGTGTTGGCCCCTCGTTCTGTTTTTGTTTCCTAATGCCCACGCCTTGCGCATTGGAATCCCATGATGCAACGCGCGTTACACATTTTCATTACTTTTATGATATCGACAGGAAGAGCGTTCCAGACGGCCGTGCGCGTCTTTCCCTGTTTGTTTGTCCCGCCCAGGTAGTGATCATCGACAAGCGCTACTTCAACGTGGTGCAGCTGTCCTGCCACTGGCTGGCCATGAGCTCCACGTGCTACAACCCCTTCATCTACGCGTCGCTCCACGACAAGTTCAAGGCGGAGCTGACTCGCCGCCTGCTCACGAGGGGCGGCCGGGGATCGGCGGGTCGCACCCCCGCCACTCGGAGCCCCCCCTCGGCGCGCACGTCTCACGTGCACGTGAGCTTCGCCAGCGGAGCCTCGGAGATTCTGTCCGCGGGAAGGGGCGGCGCGCAGCAGGCTAGCGAGTTGCTGTGAGGTGGGGGGGGTAGCATGATGGTGGTGGTGGATTGGGGGGGGCAGGAGTGGGGGGTGGGAGGTGGAGGGGCATGACGCTGCTATAGGGGAAACTGCCTCGCCTGGTATGAAGGAGGTCGTGGGTTCGATCCTGACCCTGACGCCTGCTGCTGTATATTTGGAGTTTGCGTGTCTCTCCGTCATGATCATCACGGTGTTTCTCTCTCTCCCCGTGGTCGCGTGGATTTTTCTCCAAGTCCTCCGATTTTCCCCTCCACGTTTAGAATCGAGAGCACGCGTTTTTGGCTGCTATAAATGTCCACGTGACGAGCCACGTCGTTGAGCTGTCACTTGCGATAGTCGGGTCGCTTCTGACAAAGAGCTCCGTAGCTCAGGTTGGGGGCCTAATCTGGTGAAATAAAAAAAGTGTTCACGATGACGAAGTTGGGGAGTGGGAGCTTCGGGGGCGACGGGGTGGGTACAACCAGGGTGTGAGTGGGGCACACGCCATGCCGCCGTGCTGAGAAATGACGATGATTGCGATATTCGTGGAAGTGGATTTGGGGGGGGGGTGGGGGGTGCCAGCAAGCTCCTGCAGGAGGGAGAATTAAAAAGAGGGGCCTCGTCAGGCCCTAAATTGGGGAGGGGAGATTAAACTATGGAGCTGCTCTACGGAGAGAAAGGGGGGCCACGGGGGAGAACATTTGGAGGGAGGGGGGGGGCAATCAAAGTGGGGAGCCCAGCAGGGGTCACCAGAGCGAGTGCGAGTGTCTATGAGCTTTGTAGGGAGCGGTGGTGCACCGGTTAGCGTGCAGCGCTATGAACCCGGCTACCCGAGTTTGATTCTCGCTCACGGCCAACACCAGTGACGATTATATCTGAACCGGTTCATGCCGGCCTTCATAGATGCTTGCTAGCAGCATTTGCCCCAACAGTTTGTTACAGGTTATGTAGGGGATATTTTTGTTTTTCTTGCATCCATCCTGGGTTTAACCCGGCAGGATTGTGTGAGGAGCTCACAAATGCTTGAAAGATCTGGATATATTCCCATCAGCGAGCTCCTCTGGCGGGCGATGCTGCGTTGGCTGGGTCATGTAGCCCGCATGCCCAGCCACCGCATATCCAAACAGCTTCTGTTTGGCCGGATAGAGGGGGGCTAAACGGACGCGACACGGGCTGAAGAAGAAATTGAGCAGATGCGCTACAGGGGGATGTGATGCTGAGTGGACTTGCCGATGATCGCTACCAAAGGTATAAAAATCGGTCTCTATGGAGGAGGTTCGTGAAGGACGCTGCTACTGGGCAGTTGGAGGCAGTCGCCCTCCAGCAACAACAGAGGGCAGAGGAGCGACGCTCACAACAACGAACGGAGCGCCGGGTGACTAAAACACAGCAAGTGGGCATAGTAGGGGGCACATCTGGTGCATCGGCCACTCATCTCAGTCAGTCAACCCATGGCACCCGCTGGGTCTGTCGTGACCTCCTGCCAGCAGCGAGCCTTTCACGCTTCACGTGGCCTCTGAGTGCACCTATCCTGGCACAAGCGCCGTAGTGACGTCACCGCCACTTAGTGGTAATTGGCGGCTATTTTTTTGTTCGTACGAGTGGTGGTGCACTGGTTAGCCAACTACAAACCTGGCGACCCGAGCTCAATTCCCGGCCATGGCGACCGTCTGCGGCAGATTTCTAAACGGGTCTTGGGTCTCCCCAAGGTCGGCTCGGCATCAGATGAGTATCTGCTGTGGCTTGTAAAACATTATCACTGGGGAGACAAAGGCGGCCGCGCAGGATGTTGTCCACACAATCCCTTCGCGTGCCGTGCTAAGCGGCCTCGATAAGTACTGGCCATCAGCACTTTCTCGAGGGGGGGGGGTCTTTGTACTCTGTATATGAGTACGCGTGTATGTATGTGTACGTGTGTGTTCATGGGGGGAGCGGTGGCGCAGCGGTTAGCGCGCTGCGCTACGAACCTGGCGACCCAAGTGAATTCCTGGGGTCACCAGGAATTAACTTGACTCCTGGGGAGACTTCGGGGAGACCTAGGTCTCCCTCTAGGTCGACTCAGCCTCAAATGAGCACCTGGTGCGGTGTGGAAACATCGCCGCTGGGGAGACAAAGGCGGCCGGGCGTGGTGCTGGCCACCCCACCCCCGTCATGTGCCGTGGCGGCCTGCACGGGTGCTGCTGCTGCTGCTCGCTAACAGCACTTGCCCCGGCAGTCTGTGGAGGCTACACGGGGGATCTTTGTCTTTTATGCGTGAGCTTTGTCGTACGACGCTCGATCGCTCGCCACCGTCATCGCCTCCGCGCTGTGACGCGCCAGTGACGCGACAGTGACGCGACAGTGACGCGACAGTGACGTCACACACAGTGGTGGATCACGATGTGCCCTGAGAGTGTATTGTCTTTGTACTGTCCGCCTTGTGCCGTTGTTCTCCGGTCCACCACTGCTGGTGAGACGAGGCCACACAGAGGGCCGACAACTCTGGTGTCGGCCAGTCCGTTTCAGAGACAAAGCCCCCAGGTCTTATTGTCATGTTCGCCACGAGTACCTATGTGTGGTTAACGTACATGCGATTCTTTTTCAAGAGGTTTCTCTTTGGTGTTTGGACATCTTAACACCTACTGGTTTATTCTTATTTTATTCATACAAAATTGTGCTCGTTTTATTTTTTTATCACCCCCAAAAGGATGATGATGATGATGGGAACTCACCACCCTTGCTTCATAGCCCCCTTTCCCCTTCCACGCCCGTCTTGTGCTGCCCTTTTACAAACCCGTCCTCCCGATCTCGCTCTCATCTGCGTCGCGTCATTGGATGTGAAGAATCCGCAACCGAAACCTCTTCGTGCTAGCGAATGGGCCCCCTCCCCCCCCCCCCCCCCCCGCGGAAGTGGACAACACAGAGCTACCTCCCACGTCCCTTCTTTCGCGTGGCCTCTGCCTACCTCTGTGCTGCTCTCCCCTCCTCTAACTGCGCGCGCGTGGACCGAGGGCAGCAGCAGCAGCAGCGGCAGCAGCTGCTGCCCCCGTGCCCGGCTCTGCCACCGAGGGAGTGACGCGCTCGGCCGCACGGAGAGTCAGAGCCGAGCTGAACACGTCCACTACGCGTGTCCGCCGCAGGGCCACAGTTAACAGGAATGAGAATCAGTTGAACACGTAGGACTTCGCGACCATTATTATTATTATCTACATTCGAGGTACTGTAATTGTGAATGTTGTGGTAGGTTTACTCTCAAACACAGCGGTGTGCTGAAACAGTCATTCATTTGGCACGTTTTGCTTACGTGACAAGCCGTACTAATTGGCTGTGTCGGGTGGTGGCGGGTTTAACGACACATATTTACGCGATCTTACCCCAACGACACTTCTATTATGAGTAATGGTAATATGGATGCATTTTTTTTGTCATTGCTGACTGAGCTGTCATTGGTGACCATCAACTCGCTACACACGAGAACGCGGCTTTATCGCGGGCGGCTGAGACATGGGATTCGAACCCAGGGTCTCCGCAGGGCGGGCTCAGTGATCTGGCCCTCTGACTCGCCCGGCAAAACACCGAGGAATTGGCAACAACAACAGCAGCGGCCGCCATTCGCGAGATGCACCTTGAGGCCACGTGAAGTGTCGAAGGCTCGCTGGCCGACAGGAGGTCACGGGACAGACCCAGCAGGTGCCATGGGTTGGCTGACCGAGATGACCGGTAGATACACACCACCTGTACCCCCGACTGTGGCAAGGATTGGCACCACACATTAACGCACACACACACCACACACACACCACTCACACACACACACCACACACACACCACACACACCCCACACACACACCACTCATACACACCACTCACTCACACACACCACTCACTCACACACACCACACACACACACCACACACACACACCACACACACCACACACACACACCACACACACCACACACACCACACACACACACACACACACACCACACACACCACACACACACACCACACACACACACACACACACACCACACACACACACCACACACACACCACACACACACCACACACACACACACACACCACACACACACCACACACACACCACACACACCACACACACACCACACACACCACACACACACCACACACACCACACACACACCACACGCCACACACACACGCCACACACACACCACACACACACCACACACACGCCACACACACACACCACACACACACACCACACACCACACACACACCACACACACACGCCACACACACACCACACACACAGTAGAGACTGCGCTGCGTGCTGTCGGTGTGCAGGCTGCCACCATCGACTGGCCACACCACGCCAACTGGGTGTTGAAATCGCGTGCGGCTGAAACCTGGATTGGAACCCAGGCCCCCAGCTGTGCGACTTCAGCACTCTGGACCTCACGTATCGATCCTAATCGCCACCTGTCACGTCCATTTCTCCCGAGCTCCGCGCAGCGTACACCGGGAGGGTGTCGTGCCATCGATTGTCGCACTTTACGGGACCGTCCAACAGGCGGGCGTGTCCGTGCTCATCCCGTCAACGCATTTCATCGGCGCAGTTGTCGTGTTCACGGGCTTGCTCTGTGCGGCGTCGTGGTCACATCCACTGCCGGATGGGCCGTCGTTCTCCCGTACGTCACCACCGCCGCCATTGCGGGCAGCACCGGCGTGCAAGGCACGGACCAACAGTGCAGCAGTGGATTTCGCTGCGCTGCCCTCTGCTGCCCAACACCTAGCCCCCCCCCCCTAAACCCCCCAGCAGCAGCAGCCTATAGCTACCTGTTTGTGCATGGTGGTGGTCGCCCATCCAAGCGCTATCCAGGCCCAAACCTGCTTAGCTCCTTCTCAAGATCGGGCGGCATTTGACCATTGAACAGCTGCTCGGGTTGCCCAGCTGATGTCTTGTTTATTTATTTAAGTTGTGTAAATATGTCTCTTACGGGTCCATGTACTGTTACGTTGATACGCTGGTTCCTGCACAGCGTACCGAGATGC